TGAATATTCCATGTGACTTTCAAAGTGGTGTGATAATGGGCGACTCAGAGGGACTTGAGGGATAAAGTAGATGATATTCATGTTTAATGTACTGTGTTCATTACAGGGGTGCACTGAACTGTGACCCTTAAAAGAGGGTTTATAGACTTGAGCGGCATCAGGGCTTCAGCAGTCAGGGATTGCATATGGATGAAGAGTTGTCATGGTCGCTGCATCAATTTTCCCAGCAGCATTCCCCAGTGGCAAACCTCCGTCTGCTTAATAAATTACATGGATTGTGTCCCTGAAAGATAAGCCTTGTTCTCCGTTAAGGAACTATTTCAGAGTCATTTTTCCCTATCTCCAATTAGATTTATGGGACGATAACACGATAGACACACAATGAGGAATGGCTTCTCCAGGGGGCTGTAGACAGAGCAGACTGACACTGTGAGAAGAGGTGACATCAAAGTGACCCGAGGGCAAGTGGGCCAGCTCTGAAGAGGCAAGGGGCCTCCAAGGCAGTGATGTCACCACTGTGGAAACTCTTACTACCCTCTTCCCACCCTCCAACCCCCACCCCCACCCCTACCCCTACTCACCAGCCAATCAGGGTGTGGCAGGTGAATCTGCCTTAGCCAATGGAAGCAGGAGGAGCTCTGGGCAAGGAGGGATGGGTGAGAAGATTGGGAGGGGTGGGCCACATGGCCTGGCCTCCCTGCCAAGTTCTCTGTCCACCCATCTGCTGACTCCGGGGTGAATTACTACACCAGGAGACACCGCAGCCCTAGAGAGGCCCCTGAAAATGAGAAGTTATCATCGCCGTTTCTCGGTAGAGATTTCACTACACATCGTGGAGACGTCCGAGGAATTTTTTAAATGACCTTAAAAAACCTCGTGGCTTTCTTTCCCCTTTCTTAGTAAAAAATTATTTGTTTCACTCAGTGGGATTGTGGCTTCTTGGAGGAACCCAGCTGGCAATTCCTCTGAAAATTAGTTTTAAAATAGGATTCCCAGGGTTGCGATGTTTTCCGCCCACCTTTTCCTTTGTTCCATCTCAGGACACTCCCTTCATAGATTCGCTTTGGAACGACAAGTTCTTTGCCCACTTACTTCAGTCTCCTCGGCTTCCCAGTGCAGCCTTGCAGCTGTGGATGAACAGAGCCAACTTAATCTGTATGTACAGGGCATGTTTGTACTCAGTCCAACGTGAGAACAGTAATCTTCCATGAAATTCAGATCCCAAGCCTCTTTAGAATGTACAGAAGGAGCTCAATCCCCTTTTGCAACTGCATTCCTCCTGATCCTACTGATACCTGAAGGGACGCCAGATTTTCCCACTCAGCCTCCAGATGATAAATAGCTTAGGGAGTGAATGCAATTAATTTACCACCCAGGATTTCATTATGCCTTACTGTCGCCTACTCGCCCAGTTCCCCTTTCATCTCCTT